TGCTGGGGCCATATATCATCCCCAGCAGGCAGCCTTGTCAATTCAGGCAGAATTACATGGAGTTTTAGGTCCTTCGTTAGCTGGGCGTCCAGCCAGGGGTGCAGTAGGGGCATGGATACCCCAGCAGATTCAGGGAGCCCAGCACTTTACAGGGGCCCTACCCAGGGGCACAGTAGGGGCACGGATGCCCTGGCAGATTCAGGGGGCCCAGCACTTTACAGGGGCCCTACCCAGGGGTACAGTAGGGGCATGGATACCCTGGCAGATTCAGGGGGCCCAGCACTTTACAGGGGCCCTTGAATGTGTTATAATTATACGTAAAATTGGGTGGGAGGAGCCAAGGCTATCAATGTAAATTATAAATTGTTCTTAGTAACTTGCCTGGAAAAAATAAAAGGTTAAATAAAAAGGTGACATTTTGTTAGGGGGCCCAGAATTTCGAGATACTCCACAACCTCCAACACTGGGCCGAGTCCCTTCACATGTTCTATGCCTGTCAAAGCTCCAGGCTGTCCTGAGCCCGTCAGAATCGAGCCCACTTATTGGCAGTATCAAGGAAAAGCAGAAAAGGCCCCCATGATCTGATTGGTTAATCACTGCCTTACCTTGAACATGATGGTTTCCATAACAGCTCATTAACTTTGTCTGTACTACTCATGAGAATTTACTGACGTTAAACAACATGTGGAAAGTCATGCCTCCCTCCGCGGGACGCTGACTTTTTTGTTTTGTTTTCTACTCTATGAGTCGGTTGGACCAAAAGCATTTGCAGGGGTGGCATTAAGGACAGAGCCTAAATGGGGCCATTGTTTGGTTTTCCATGAGTTGTAATTGTATGGCCTGTTATGTCCAAGGGGGGTGTTTGGTGTGGTGGTACTGCCAAGGTTCCCGTTCAGTTGTGCACTGGAAGTTGGACCAATCAGTGGGATGGCATTAATGATGTGGGCGGGGCTCAGCCCTTGGCGATTGGCTTTCCCGTGCTGTCGTCCTTGCATCCTCTTCTTCCTTTCTTTTGTACTCTGGATTTTTAACCTAGAAAACATTCACTGTCATTACCCGATATCATGTTTCATTAATGCCTTATTAATCCTTAAGGTTATGGCAGGTAGGTTACATGTGCACCTACATGTGACCCCTAGGAATATTCTCTGTTAAACACGCCAGGTTAGAAGGTGAGTGCCGATCCCTGTATGTTATGGAGGACTAGCTTAGCCTTTGAGGGGGGGGCGTATAGGGAATTAGAACTAGTTTTATTTTGTTCTTTCTTTTGGCACCATCTATCCTCCCTTCCCAAGTGATTGGTATCACGGTCCTCACTGGGATAACTGGTCTGTCTCGTACTGTAAATAAACTGTCTGTGACCCGTGATCTGTTTCAGTCTCCATGTGCGCTGTTTGGGTCACAGTGCAGCCAACAGGAAACTGCGAAACCACTCTTGGTCACCTCACTCATGCAGCCTTTTCCCCCGACCAAGACCAGAGGGTGAGCCACTTTGCCCCCATGGCATATAATATGGATTCAGTGTATTAATTAATAACTGTTAGAGAGAAGGTTATTCTGAAAATCCAAATGGTGTGCATTGTTCCCTGTAGTCCACTGATCAAAGCACACTTCACTAGATGTGCCTGTTTTGTCTAGTTTTAAAGTTATTAACCTATAATGTTAGTTATTAACATAATTTTGCACAAATCATGAAATGGTTTGAAGCGCAAACAAAAATCGGTGGACATCGTTGTCTGTGTACTGGACATCACAATTCTGTCATTAAAAACGCTCCACCTTACCTCCGTTAAAAGTTATTAAAGCCAGAAAAATTGAATATCGAATATATGAGGCTAACTTAACCGCGGTGACATTTCCCTCAGGAAACACAAAAGCGAGCCAGTTGGCTGAAATAATTTCCATAAAACAGACAAAACATCACGTCTCACGCTCCGTTTAATTCACCCGGCGAAACTGTTTGATTGACACGACACAAACTTCCTCTGTATCGTACCTACCCTTTCCGTGCGATTCTCCGCTTGTAAATTTTTGTCAGTGATTGGTGAAAGTGTTTCGCGTGTTGTAAATTTGTTTTCACAATTGTAATTTGGTTTTGGGACTGGTAAAAGTGTTTTGCATATTGTAAATTTGTTTTATTTGGTAAAAGTGTCTTGCATATTGTAAATTTTATTTTTGTAATATTGTTTTATGAAATGTTAATTTGTTTTCATTAATTTGATTTGCCCTTCTCAGCCACCGTAAAAAACAGGGAAAAAAATCACGCATAACATAGTGACTGAAGTGTGCACAGGAGGTGGACTCACGCTTAGCTAAATAAAAATATACTGAAGAACCAGCAGCTTCACTTCATCACTTTATCTTTGGTCAAAGTGAGGTGAGTGACGTTTGTTTGGATGAACAGGAAGTGAAAAGCTTATTCAGTGAGATGAAGTTTATCTCACCATAATCCAAACGCAAATATAAGTTGGACGAGGATGTAGTGTAGCACTTGAACGTAAGGAACCCAGGAATTTAATCAGACCTTTGCATGGAATAAAGTGCATATGTGAAGATCCCATCCATCCGTCTTCCAGATGCTTATCCAGTACAGGATTTTTCCAGGAACTCTGCTAGCCTGATCCCTCTTTACATTCCCTGAATGTCCTTAATGCACTTCATGGCCCATTGAATAGCAGTCTTATTAGATTCTGGCTTTATTAGATGTTGTGTCGCTCCTGCTCCGGTCCTCATTACCCTGGACTTGGGCCGTCACTGGGAGAGTTTGCTAGATATAAATAAATGCATATATGTAGAAATGGCTACTGTGGACTTTCCTGTTTCAGCTTGTTTTGGTATAGCAGTGCTTTGCAGCTGTGGACTCTGGGTACTTTATTCCTCATGTACTGTAGGCCGCTTTTGGAGGAGCGTGTGCCAGGCCAGTGCTCGGTGTTTGCGTTCCGTCTGTCTGGCATGCCCTCAGCCATCATTCTCAGCAGCCCGTCTCCTGCTGCCACAATCTAAAAGCAAACTATCACAAGCCACAGAAAGACAGAGAATGTGCTCGTTTGTATCGGCCAAGGGAATTAGCTGTGACTTTTTAATTTCTTCGGAGGGAAATAAGATGGCAAGTAACACTAAGTAACAGTGTTGGCAGGGTAAAGATAAATAGGCTTAAGTCAAGGATCTGGTGTCTTCTCTGAAGAGGAACAGACTTTGACACACAGTTTCATGAAACTTTTTTTTCGCTCCTTTGCGACAGCATGCGGCCTCCAGTAGAGCTTTTATGGCGTATCACCATCAGGATCTCGCCCCACTGATAACCAGTTTCCCGGCCAATCTGGAGTAGTCGTTTCTGCCCATGGCCCAGTCAGGGAAGACCAGTGGCCTCATGCTGACCACACGTGGTAGAGGGCTACTCCTTCTTCAGTTACACTTGGCTTTGAATGGCATTTTCGGGAAACACCCATTGAAGCTGCTGAAATTATGCAAATACAGTAGCTGAAAAGTCGGTATAATTTCCCTGGCAGTGGAAAGGGAGCCATCTTAACGAAAGAGAGAAAGACGCCTTGGCTTCTGGCACCTGTGACTGGCTTTTCCCTCATGACCGTACTTTCCATAGCTTGACAAACTGCATCCCTTCTGTCCATCTCTGCCTCTTTCTGGATTATCCAGTGCCACTGCTGCCTGCCAGCACTGCATTTCTGCTGGAATCTGATGGCCAGCTTCATTGGGAGAAATGATGTATATCTTTGGCATTATGGGCTGGAATGGTTGCCATAGAGAGAAGGGCTTGAGCCTGGAGCATTTTGAAACTGATTCTCCAAGAGCAGCTCCACCAAGCCTGATGTGTATCCATGGCAACCATACCAAGCAATGGCGATTGCTGTGTTTTATGGCCATTGTGGTATTTTGAATTTTTTGATAGCCCTCTAGCCCACTCTGCATATATTTGTGTGTGTGAATCATGTGGCTCAGGGCATACTGCAGGCATGAAAAGGTTTGGATGCTGTATGGCTGGGCAGTAGAATGGAAAACGTGTGATCCAAACAATTTGGAATGTGCTGGGTTTGATGGGGGGGGGCATCCACCTTCCGGGGATTTTCACACGCTGCAGTCTCTAGGCCTAGGGCTTACAGAGAAAAACATCTAGTCATCAGCAATTCTGTGGGTAAAAACATCCTGTTAATGAGAGAGGTCAGAGGAGACTGACTAGCTAATAGGAAGTCCACAAGTGCAAAAATAACAGCTCAGTACTACAGCGGTGTGCAGAAAGGCCTCTCTGAATGCGTAACTAGTCCAGCCTGCAAACGGCTCTGGAGACAAAAGGGGGTCAAACCCAAACCAGCCATGTGTACCTAAAATCCCTCGGGGTACCTCTGCATGTAGATATATATGTTATTGATCTCAGGAGGGATATATATGCATATATTTCAGTATAAATCCAAATATATCAGCATATAATTGCATAATTTGCATCTTTCTGTCCTGCTAAATAAAGTGATTTGAATGACTCCACACCCTGAAATGATTTAGTGTGCTGTGATGGAAACATAAACACATACACACCTTTCTATCCACTCAGGATGCACTTTGCTGAATGTTCCCGCATTTGTCTCCAGTGGCCTGATCTCCCCCCTCTGATATGCCCTGTGCTTTTTGAATAATTCATGCCGTTTCCATTTATCTCCATCTGCACTGTGAGCTTTTAAGGTGCCAAGGCTGCTTCAGCATCAAATGCTTTTGGAGCTTTTTTTAAAAAATGGAATCATTTTCATATTTGTCTAGAAATATTTTTTAGAAACTGACAAATTATGTCCATTAAAAAATCTGGATAATATCTAAGAAGTTAAAACTACATCTATGTAAAGTGGAGTTAGAAAGCATTATTAGCATCTTACTTTTCAGATCAGTCAGATTATGTGCCACTTAAACACTGTTGTGTTGCCTAGGGAGACTGCAAATTGCCTTCCTGTGTCTCTGCACTGCACTGGTCCCTCCTTTGGTCTCCCCTGCTGCAGGATCACTGCCTTCCCGTGTCTCTGGGCTGGTCCCTCCACTGGTCTCCTCTGCTGCAGGATCACTGCCTTCCTGTGTCTCTGGGCTGGTCCCTCCCCTGGTCTCCTCTGCTGCAGGATCACTGCATCTCCAGTCACAGGTACTGCTGCAGGATCACTGCCTTCCCGTGTCTCTGCACTGCACTGGTCCCTCCCCTGGTCTCCTCTACTGCAGGATCACTGCCTTCCTGTGTCTCTGCACGGCACTGATCCCTCCCCTGGTCTCCTCTGCTGCAGGATCACTGCCTTCCTGTGTCTCTGCACTGCACTGGTCCCTCCCCTGGTCTCCCCTACTGCAGGATCACTGCCTTCCTGTGTCTCTGGGTTGGTCCCTCCCCTGGTCTCCCCTACTGCAGGATCACTGCATCTCCAGTCACAGGTACTGTAACCACTGAGCATGTGCCCAGTGAGCTTGTAACCAGAGTGGCTAGTTAACAGAGCCTGTTATCTTTCTCCTCCACGTCCCCAACCCTTCATTGCCCTCCCACCCCCATACTCTAGCTGGCTTTCTGAAGTGGAGGTGCCATTGATCTAAAGTGCTGCCTTGCTTGAGGAGGGAGGGGGGTAGGGACTTCGCTTCAGCCGGAGAGGGTGGGGTCTCAGCGATTACATCGGCGATGGAGAGTATATTGCAGTGCGTGCTGCATGTGAGCATCACAGTCCTCCTTCTCCTGGGTCACATGATCACAGCATTGGAAGTGCCTCTTGATCGTAAGTATGAGTACTATGCCAATCAAGTATGACTAAGTAATGAGTGTCAGTTATGGGTCATCAAGGTGGAGATCAAGATGAGACGAGAGATCCTCAAAGTCCCCAGTTCACTCTGCATCTGTCACGAATCCATATTCTAGATACTTCTATAACGCTGTCGTTAAGTGACAGAATGACTTTTGATGTTTGTTAGAGGTCATAAATAGAACGGTTGCCTTCAACCAATAAAATGCTGGAATCAGCAGGCAAATTAGGCTGCGTCAGGTCGGTCAGAGCCATTCCCAGAACCAGTCTGTCGATGGGGTTTGGACACGAAGAGGGAGGGAGGGAGGGTGAGCTTGCTGACGTGATGGAAATCTCTACTGCTGACTCCGTTCCCCCTGACCTAGCCAAGGAAACCTTGCCAGCTTCTCATCACACTCATTGTGGAGAGCCTAGCTTACCCCATCCCAAGAGTGCGTGTTCCACATGTCCATCTATCTACTCCTCATGCAGGTTCAGCAGGTTAGGATACTGTGTCTGTAATCGGAAGGTCACCAGTTGAAGTCCTGGGGGTAGCAGAGTGATTTCACTGCTGGGTCCTTGAACAAGGGCCTTAGCCCTCAGGAGCTCAGGGATCGTCTGACCCTATTTTCTCAAAACTGCATGTCGGCTGTATAAATAACTGCTAAATATCTACCTTCCCTATGAGGCTTTATCAGTATAACTGAACACTCACTAATATTATCCTACTTAAGCGTCTTGGCTGAGGTAATAAGGCACAGTAACCCGTCTGACTGTTCACAAAAGGCCCCAGTACCTCACCTTTCACCTTCACCACTGTGCGCACGGTTATACATGTCCAGCTGATGTCTGGATGCACCAGAAAATGGGCTCTGGAAAAAAGTGTCAATAAGGCTCACTTGAGCCATGCCTGAGGCAGGAAGCTAAGCACGACTGGCACAGCGTCTCCTCACCACTAACGTCTGGTTTTCTTCACTGCCTATCTGCTGCTTATCTGCTGATTCTTGGGGGAAAAGCTAAACTTCTGGAAGGACGTAAGTTGGGCTGTGCCTGCTGTGAGCGTAGCTTTGCTTTAAGGAGCGTCTGCACTTAAGCCGCTGCCTCTGCACGCTCTCTTTTGTCCGTGTGGATTTTTTCGTTGCTTTCGCCTGGATTTAAGTAGATTTGCATGTATAAAGGTTGTTTATTGTTCCTCATGTTTGTTCTTTTTTCACGTTATTGTCCTGATTATTGTTGTTGTTATTATTATTGTTGTTTTAATTATTCTTTGATTTTGTTTTGGCTTTGTTGTGTTTGCTTTCTGTTAGCACTACATTTCACGGTATAAATGATATCCGTGTGTGAGGTCAAGGTTAGATGAAGTTTGTGTAAAAGGTGTCATATTGTGCATGATGCTGATTATTGTTGTTTTCAGCTCTGGCTGTTCATCACATTAGATTTGTTTGCAGATTAGCACTGTTTTAATAGATAAATACATGCTGTGTTTTGCTGTGTTCTGTTGATGTTGTCTGGTGTTGCGCTACATAAGGCTGCGTCAAGGTGTGCGCTCGTGTGTGACGCCACTCTCTCGAATTCAGTACCACAGCCTCCCACCATAACTCATCAGTCCCCGAAGGATTACATTGTCGACCCGCGGGAGAACATTGTGGTGCACTGCGAAGCCAAAGGGAAGCCTCATCCAAGGTTTGTGGAGCTTGAACCTTTTCCACGCAACACTTTCCCTGAGGGGCTCTTCTGTGAGATGAATCACCCAAAATTCTTGTTGACGAGACCCCTGTTCCACACGCAGCTTCTCGTGGACCAGGAATGGGACGCACTTCGACATTGACAAGGACCCCAAGGTGATGAAGAAGGCCGGCGCGGGGACACTGGTCATCGACATCAGTGGCGAGAAGGCCGAGGCCTACGAGGGCGTCTACCAGTGCACAGCCAGGAATGAGCACGGGGCTGCAGTGTCCAACAACATTGTCATCCGCCAGTCCAGTAAGAATGCACCATTCAATGGACTCTCCCCCCAGGCTGAATCACAGCCAAACACCCCTGAAAACACCTCTGTGCATCTCAGAACGCAGTGTCAGCCATGATTCCATCTTAAAAGTGATGCTGAGTCATGGACATACATGGTGCACATGTATTTCTCAAATCCTTCTCCACAAAGGAATTCATTCCTTTGTTTACTCCTTATAATAGGTTCACCAATTTGTATTTAAAACAGGCTCCTAATTCCCACATCACCCTCTTTTTTTTGCCTGTCCTTGTTTTGTCTCTGCTGAGTAGCAGTGACTCGCTCTTCTTCTGCCATTGCTGTTTATGTATGCATAGCACCACCTAGTTGTGGTTTTGGGTCACTGTTTTTTCATGAACTCTCTGGCAGGGTCTCCCCTATGGGCAAAGGAGAGAATCGAGCCCATCGTCGCGCAGGAAGGTGTCTCTCTGGTTCTGCAGTGCCGGCCGCCTGCTGGCCTTCCCCCTCCTATCATCTTCTGGATGGACAACAGTAAGCTGTCATGGCAACCTGCTGTCATGGCAACCTGCCTCGGGGATGACCTTATGGAATGCAGGCGGGGGAGTCTCAGCATCCAGCCACATCAAGAGCTGCCCTGTCATTCGGGGGCCGTTGTTTGTTCATGTGTAATGTCTTGTCAGAAAACAATGCTATTCCAAGGTGGCTCATGTTGGGAAGTCTCTGGGGTACCACAGCTGGTTCTCTCCTGCTAGTTCTGTAGGTCTGGGTACAACTAGCTCTAAATCAAGTGCAATATGCCAGTCCCTGTTCCAAGTGTAGGACATGTAGACTGCCACATTATGTCCCCTAATTTTTGACCAATCCTATAAAATCACACACTGCGACCAGCTAAGTTTTGGGTAGAGAAAACAAACGATGTAGGTTCATCTCCTTTTCGCTAATCCATCCAAAACCGCATACTTACACAGTACATACTGAATTTCCTCAGAAGCATACTACTTGACTGTTAATGTAGTACATACTGTATCTATTTATGAGAAGAGTATGCTTGCATTCAAACATACTGCAGTCGCCATCTTGCGTATTACTTGACCCAGATGTTTTCCAATGACATAGCTTCACCACAGTGAAAGTTAAAAACTGTTAAAAATGATCAACAAAAACCTGACCTAGTCCTCTTATGTAACCAGGCATTGGTTTCTACTTAAATTTGTACAGAGATTGCAATTTTGCCACCATTTTGACAAATATTTCTGACTAAGGGACATTCTTTGCTGCTCCTGTGGCCTTGTAGGATAGTGTAGTGTCCATCAGTTTCACACTTCAGAATTTTGCAGAATGTAGTATGTCATCCAGGTACTATTAACATACTGCCTCATCCATACTGAGGATTTGGCAGAATGTAGTATGTCATCCATGTACTATTCACATACTGCCTCATCCATACTGAGGATTTGGCAGAATGTAGTATGTCATCCGGGTACCGGTCGCGTACTGTCTCATCCATACTGAGGATTTGGGAGAATATAGTATGTTATCCAGTTACCGGTCACGTAGTGCCTCATCCATACTGAGGATTTGGCAGAATGTAGTATGTTATCCGGGTATCAGTCACGTACTGCTTCATCCATATGAGGATTTGGCACAATGCAGTATGTTAATGTCTGGGTACCATTTGCATACTGCCTCATCCATACTGAGTGTTTGGCAGAATGTAGTATGTCATCCAGGTACTATTAACATACTGCCTCATCCATACTGAGGATTTGGCAGAATGTAGTATGTCATCCATGTACTATTCACATACTGCCTCATCCATACTGAGGATTTGGCAGAATGTAGTATGTTATCCGGGTATCAGTCACGTACTGCTTCATCCATATGAGGATTTGGCACAATGCAGTATGTTAATGTCTGGGTACCATTTGCATACTGCCTCATCCATACTGAGTGTTTGGCAGAATGTAGTATGTCATCCGGGTACCGTTTGCGTACGGTCTCATCCATGCTTAGGATTTGGCAGAATGTATATTATCCGGGTACTGCTTGCATACTGCTCCATCCATACTGAGGATTTGGTAGCATGTAGTATGCCATCTGGATATTGTTCATCTACTTTCCCATCCATACTGAGGATTTGGTAGCATGTAGTATGCCATCTGGATATTGTTCATCTACTTTCCCATCCATACTGAGGATTCAGAGATACTGCTCACGTCGCCTACTATATTTCATCTACTACATAGCAAACAAGAATGCGATTTAGGATGCACCCTATGTCTTCCATTTCTCCCTCAGATTTCCTGAGACTTCCCCAGAACAGCCGTGTCTCCCAAGCCCTGAATGGAGACCTGTATTTCTCAAACGTCCGGGCAGAAGACACTCGCAGCGACTATATCTGCTATGCACGTTTCCCGCACACACAGACCATTCAGCAGAAGCAGCCAATCACGGTCAGAGTACTCAATGGTAAGGGAAATTCAGTTCAATTGCGAACACAGACTTGCATGCTGCCACCACACAATAATTTTTTTTTTTTAAGGAAATGGCGGTTTCACATGACCATTATGTGGGTCTCTGGGCTCTGTCTCATTCATTTCTTCTTCAGGTGTTCAACATGTCAAGGAAAAAAATAAGAAATTCACTTACTGAGCAAGCAACAATGATGAAGTGTTCTTCCTTTTGTCTTCTTCTATTTTCGTGTTACTTCAGGACAATCCTGATGTTATAAATATGAAAGAATTTTTGCATCCCATTGAATGTTTTTAGAATGTTATCCGGATTTTCTGTTGTGTTACAGTGGATGCAATCAATGAGACAATGGCAGCTTTTTTGAATGACACTGATTTTTTTAGTGGTGAGTGCTGGCGCCCCCTAGTGTTTAAACCTGGGTTAACATGCTAGAAATTCACTGTAAAATTAACCAACCCTGTCTCATCTTTAACCAATAATGAAAAATAAATAACAAATAACATTTCTCTTTAATTAAGTATAAAGATTAACATTTCTTTTTGTATTTCCATGCTTTTTGTCAGTGTTGAAGCTTACAGGAGAAATGGACACTTGCTTAATATTTTGAAAACCGCATAATTTAATTTTCACTTTAGAAGATGTTGAATAGAATTTTATACATTTGGTCTCATATAAAAAAAAACATTTCCATTATCAAATTTAATTGAACAAAATAAATACACAAGTTGGTCCTTTTTAAACTGTCATAGATATTCTTCATGAAACTTTCGAGAGTTAGTAAAAGTTTGTGTGAAGAAACTTCATTTTCATTTCGGTCTGATAAAACAGTGGTTTGATTAGATCTCCAGTGCCTGGCTTCTTTGTGGATCCTCCTATGAACTCCTCAGTCCATAGAGCTGAAGGGGAGCATAGGAGTATTCAGAGACACCTGACTCTCCTTTCCTCTTGTTTCCTCTTTCGCTTATCCAGCTTTTCAAACATCCATTCCACGCCTGTACATTTTTACTGGGTTTGAATGAAATCTGTGTTATGTGGTCTTTTTCCCAAATTTTTTTAAGGATTCTAATAGGGCCCACTGTAAATGAGTACATTATCTAATAGGGCCTGCTGTAAATGAGTACATTATCTAATAGGGCCCTCTGTAAATGAATACATTTTCTAATAGGGCCCGCTGTAAATGAGTACATTTTTAATAGGGCCCACTGTAAATGAGTACAGTTTTTAATAGGGCCCGCTGTAAATGAGTACATTATCTAACAGGGCCCGCTGTAAATGAGTACATTATCTAATAGGGCCCGCTGTAAATGAGTACATTATCTAATAGGGCCTGCTGTAAATGAGTACATTTGTTAGTATGGAGCCAAAAATGCCCAGGAGAAGCTTTCCAGGACCAGGTAGCATGTCTTTGTTCCTGAGTTAGAAGATGTGTGTCTCCATAGTCGCCCTGGTTAGGACCCAGCGGCCAGGTTCAGGACCACACCAAGGCTGTGGTTCTCAGCTCCTTTGCCAAAATGCACTCTTCATGTTCACGTTTGCAGACAGTCCTTCGGGGGAGCGCCGACCTACATTCCTGGTGCCCTCTGGAGCTTCCAGCTCGGCCATGGTGCTCAGAGGGGATGTTCTGCAGCTGGAGTGTATTGCTGAAGGCCTGTATGTCACCATGGAAACTGAATGTGTCTGGAAAACAACAGGAGTGGCCATGGACATTCTCGCAAAACGTGTATTTGCTCTCTTTTTCTATTTTTTTGTTCTAATAAAAAGGCCAACTCCAGAGATCTCCTGGAGAAAGGATAGTGGGGACCTGCCCATGAACCGGACAACTTTACACAACTTCCAGAAGACCCTGATGATCTCAGATGTGACGGAAGCAGACGCAGGCGACTACCGCTGCATGGCCAGCAACTCACAGGGCGCCGTCTATCACATCATCACCGTCACGGTGAAAGGTCAGTCAGGGAGATGAGGCCTACCTGCACGCCTGACTCTTTCTGATCTCACTGATGATGTCACTGCTGGCTTTGTCCACGGCAGCTGCTCCGTACTGGATAAGAACCCCTAAGAACCTGATCCTGGCCCCCAAGGAGAATGGTGTCCTTAGCTGTCTTCCCAGTGGCAATCCCAAGCCCACCATCAGCTGGTCCATGAATGGCATCCCCATTGAGAGTGAGTGGGCCCTCAGTCCCTGTGGTGGGGGACCTGATCTCACAGCCCTGTCACTGCAAAGTGCCATCTTCATGTTTATGTCCATGGCGTGAGTGTGCGTGTGAGTGTGCGTGTGAGTGTGTGTCATGGATCCGGGCGGCTCGGGCACAGGAACGAGGCATAATGCAGGCACAAACAAGGCGGACGACCCACTTGTGGCTCAGAGACAGACAGGGTTTATTAAATAAAACAGAAAGAAACTACAAAACCAAAAAGGACCACGAGGGGTCAAACACTAAAAAGGGATTAATTAACAAAAACCAGATACACATCTACCATCAACTATGAAGCACAAACTAACAACAACAGCAGCAGCAGCAGCAGCAGCAGCAGCAGCAGCAGCAACAACAACAACAACAACAACAACAACAACAACAACAACAACAACAACAACACACATAGACAATCATAGACAATGAACCACCGGGGAACTGAACAGAAGCAGGAACTAAAATACTAAGGGGTAACAAGACTAACACAGGACAGGTGAGGCTAATTAACAAAGACCAGGGAAACAGGGCACAGGTGAAACTAATAAACTCAAAGGAACTAAAAACAGGGAAACTAAGAACTAACCAAGGAAACAGGGAAACAGAAAGCAACACTAGGGAATTAAACAGGTAAAGACACAAGCAGGGGCACAAGGAACAAAACCAAAAACCATATACAAAATCACCAAATACAATAACTAGACAAACTCAACTGAAACACTAGGGAGCAAAATACAAAAACAGAGGAGGTGGGATTCAAACACAGGACAGAAGGGTACTCAGGACAGAAGGGAACACAGACAACCACATGCTCAACACATTGAGCCATATGACCAGACAGGGAACAAGAGAGAACAAAGACTAACATGAAGGATGGGATGACCAGCGACACTTGCTGGTCAAACGGGGAAGGGACACGGAAGGACCACAGCAGGGGCTGACCCTGACAGGTGTGTGTGAGTGCGTGTGAGTGTGTGTGAGTGCGTGTGAGTGTGTGTGAGTGCGTGTGAGTGCGTGTGAGTGTGTGCCATGTGATGGACCGGCATCCATCCAGGGTGTCCCCTGGCCCCTGTCCTTATGGGCTCCAAACCCACCACATCCTCTGTACTTGATAACTGGTCATTAAATTTGGATGATATCATCAATACAAAGAATATGGATATATACACATATTTACATTTATAGACTGTGATCCCTTGATAGATTCACCTAGAGACCCCAGCAGGAAAGTAGAAGAGGACAGTATCATCTTTAGTGATGTTCAGCCTGGATCAAGTGCTGTGTACCAGTGCAACACGTCCAATGAGTTTGGCTATTTGCTGGCCAATGCCTTCGTCAATGTACTGGGTGAGTTGCACTCTACTTTATCATACTGACCGACACTGCTGTCAATAATAATCTTAATAGACGGTTACTATTCATGTCTATGGAGCTGTTTTCCTGGGATGCATTCATTGACTTTCACTAGCACTGGTCAGCCAGTGTGTGGGCTGCCTTTGGCCTGTACTTGTAGAGTAACAGCCCTTCCGGTCCCACAGCGGAGCCACCGCGGGTGCTGACACGGCCAAACAAAGTTTACCCGGTCATCACCAACGGTCCCGCACTGCTGGACTGCGCCACCTTTGGATCCCCTATACCAAAGATCACATGGTATGTCCATGTATCCAATGATCAGTAGACAAGTTAGAACTCCCTCATTCTACGAAACTGCTGTCATTTTGTGAGTGCGATATAGCCATGTTTGAAAACAAAACATGTGCCAATATGTCAACACTGTAATATTGAAGCACTCTGATTCAATGGGGATATGTGATCTCAGCACGTTTCTCCTGCAGGTTCAAGGAGGGCCAGAACAGCGTCCTGGATGGGGATGATTACGAGCAGCACAAGAACGGGACCCTGGAGATCCACACGGCGCAGAAGGCAGACAGTGGCAAATACACCTGTGTGGCCATGAACTCCCTCGGCAAGAAGGAGAACCACGTCTATCTGGAGGTCAAAGGTGAGTCACCACTGGAGCATGTATGATGGACACATGGGTGTCATGCTACGGCATGCTAGGCAATGTTTAGATGACTGTATTTGTATTTCTGATGTACAGCTCTGGAAAAAAATTGAGGCCTTAGCAAAATTTTTTGTTTCTCTCATTTCTCAATTTATGGGTATGCGTCTGTGTCAAATATACATTTTTTTGCAAATTGCAGTCTGGTCCTTTTATGTTCCTCATTAATGAAGGGCTTCTTCCTTGCTTCGTGGGACTTCAGCCCTGCTTCTAGCAGCCTGATACAAACTGTCCTAGCAGTGCACTTCACACCTGCACTTAATGTTTCCCATTCCTTTAGAAGGTCACTTGATGTCATTCTACCATTCATGAGAAACTGATGGATAATTAGCGGTCATCTCTGACATTAGGAGTTTGCTTCTGCCCTTTACCCTACTGGTTTCTGGTCGTTCCCAGTGTCTCCTGCTTCACCTTGTTTTCTGTACTGCTGTCTTAGAAACTTTCGAAACGTGGAACAAGGGCTGTGCCATATCATACTGTCCATGATAACACCGGTAAAAATCTTCCCATGATAAAAAAGTGCTGTATCGTGATATCACTGATATAGCAATGCGATACATTTAGGGCTGCCACTAACGAATACTTTTCTATACATTCATCGACATGATTCATTTTCTTCCAGAAAATCAAACTGGTCGTCTCATGTAAGTTCATTTTATTTTGACCAGAACATTTTCATTGCAGGGCTTTAGATAATGGACGCCGGATTTTCAGCTGAATATGGATGATTATTTACGGCCACAATTTGATAAGCCTATAATATTAATGAGAGATATATTGCGATGGCCAAATATTAGTAATAATTCAGAGTATCCTTTTTATATATATATATATTAAAGTCGGCGCCACATGCTACTGTTTTGGTAAATCATGGAAGAGATAAACACTGAAGTGGCGCTGAAGACAGGGACAGATCAACAACCACGACATCTTTTAAAAGAGGAGATATGATGGTTAAACTAGGTAAAAAGATGTCAGTGGTGTCTGACGTGTTTTAATAACGTAACGATATACCGAATGTATACAGATCACTAACGTACAGTATGGGCATCGGATTACTCCATATAATCATGTAAAACAGTGGTGGGGGACTGGGTGACATGCGCATTTACTGACATGGGCATTTACTGACATGGGCATTTACTGACATGGGCATTTACTGACATGCGCATTTACTGACATGCGCATTTACTGACATGCGCATTTACTGACATGCACATTTAATCATTCACTGTGCTTTAGACAGGATGCTGAATGTTTAAAGAAATGCATTATAGAAGTGAATCATTTTGTCAGTTCCAAAGCTCAGGAGCCCCAACATCTTTTAAAATAGGAAATATTATGGATAAACCAGGTAAAAAGACGTTGGTGTGGCGATACTTCTCACAGAGTAAAGTCCGACACATTGTTTTGGTAAATAGTTTTCATTTTTAATTCAGTTCATTAATTATTTCGTTTCAGGTTTACTTTACGGTAACAACACTGGCCCCAAGAAGCCGTACGTTAACGAACACACACTCTGGCACTGTCAGTCAATGTAGAATAAACCCAGATTTTAGCCTGCACATTTTCTCAACCACTTATTCAGTGGAAATTCTAAGCTAGTAGGCAGGTAAATTTATGACTTTAATAATGAGTGAATCTAGCAGCTATAAGGACAAAGGTTATTAAAAAGCTCCAGCGGCCCATCAGCCGGAACAGCGCCTGTGCGTTTCCGTTTCAGGTGCTCCTGCGCCAGTGCCGCTGCGGTTTGCCATCGAAGCTTCGCACAGCGAACCAACCGCCTCTTTGTTTTGTGATAATTTTAATTACTCACATAATTACATAGTAATTGCTACGATTCGGCAAGCAGGCGAGCGGGGAAGCATGCGAGTAGAGCCAAGCGGACGAGCAAACGGGGTTTATTTGGAGACAACAAGGCAGACAGGCACGAACTTGCATGAGACACGACAACATCAATGACCGATCTGGGAGATAGTGGGAGACGCGGACTAATATACACAGGACAAGTCAAAAGGAACAGGAAACAGGTGATGACAATCAGGGATTAACACGAGGTAACGAGGTGGGCGTGGCACACACAAGGATCGGACGGAGCTGGGCATTACAGTAATATTGAAGGAAAACATTTGTTAGGACAAATTAAAGCTGGTGTTTTTGACAAAGAATCTAAAGCTCTGACTGTGATGTGTCTTTAGCTGGATGGTTAGTTAACTATTCCAGTGTTTACAGTTCCAGTCCTAACATTCTAACTTACCTCATTTCAGGGTATATCCATTTTATACTGCTGAAAGAAATTAAAGGAACACATCAGATCTCACAGGGGAAAAAAATCATGCTGGAAATCTATACTGATATGGACTGGGTAATGTGTTGGGAACAAAAGGATGCTACATCGTTTGATGGAAATGAAAATTCTCTGCCTACAGAGGGCTGAATTCAAAGACACCCTGAAAATCAAAGTGAAAAACTGATGCAGCAGACTAGTCCATTTTGCCAAAATTTTATTGCAGCAACTCAAAATCGTACTCAGTAGCTTGTATGGTCCCCACGTGCTTGTATGCATACATGACAACGTGGGGACATGCTCCTAATGAGATGACGGATGGTGTCCTGGAGGATCTCCTCGTAGATCTGGACCAGGGCATCACTGAGCTCTGGGACAGTTTGAGGTGCAACCTGGCGGCGTCAGATGGGCCGAAACATCATGTCCCAGAGGTGTTCTCTTGGATTTGGGTCAGGTGAGCTTGGGGGCAGTCAATGGTATCAATTCCTTCATCCTTTAGGAACTGCCTGCATACTCTCACCACATGAAGCTGGGCACTGTCGTGCACCAGGAGGAACCCAGGACCCACTGCACCAGCGTAGGGTCTGACAATGGGTCCAAGGATTTCATCCTGATAGCTAATGGCAGTCAAGGTGCTGTTGTCTAGCCTGTAGAGGTCTGTGCATCCCTCCATGGATATGCCACCCCAGACCATCACTGACCCACCACCAAACTGGTCATACTAAGCAATGTTACAAGCAGCATAAGGTTCATCCCGGCTTCTCCAGACCCTTTCACTTCTGTCACATGTGCTCAGGGTGAACCTGCTCTCATCTGTGAAAAGCACGGACCTGCCAATTCTGGTATTCTATGGCAAATGCCAATTGAGCTCCATGGTTCCGGGCAGTGAGCACAGGGCCCACTAGAGGATGTCGGGCCCTCAGACCACCCTCATGAAGTCTGTTTCTGATTGTTTGGTCAGAGACATTCACACCACTGGCCTGCTGGAGGTCATTTTGTAGGGCTCTGGCAGAGCTCATCCTGTTCCTCCTTGCACAAATGAGCAGATATCGGTCCTGCTCATGGGTTAAGGACCTTCTACCGCCTTGTCCAGCTCTCCTAGAGTAATTGCCTGTCTCCTGGAATCTCCTCCATGCCCTTGAGACTGTGCTGGGAGACACAGTAAACCTTCTGGCAATGTCACGTATTTATGCACCATCCTGGAGGAGTCGGACTACCTGTGCAACCTCTGTAGGGTCCAGTGTCACTACCATTAGTGACATTGACCGTAGCCAAATGCACAACTAGTGAAAAACAGTCATAAAAAGATGAGGAGGGAAAAATGTCAATGGCCTCCACCTGTTAACCATTCCAGTTTTGGGGGCCGTCTCATTGTTGCCCCTCTAGGGCACCTGTTGTTAATTTCATTAACACCAAAGCAGCTGAAACTGATTAACAGCCCCCTCTGCTACTTAACTGACCAGATCAATATCCCAGATGTTTAATTGACTTGATGCAATACTCTGATTAAAAAGCGTTCCTTTAATTTTTTTGAGCAGTGTATATTAACACAAATTAGAGGCAATGCAACGGTTCTAGCTCTGATGTTCTGCCTCTTTTGATGGTAAAAAAAAATGCAAGATATTATTGTTGCGCAATACCCATCTTGAGACCCCCTTAAAATTTTGCTTTTCAGGCTTTCAAGGGGTCTCATGAGTTAATCGGGGGTGTCGGACTCCCCCGTATGTCGCACACTGGCTGTGTCGCTGTATGTAGTGCTGTGTACCTACAATTGCACTATAATGCTGCTGCTGCCATCTTGTGGCAAGAGATTCAGACTCCGAATTAGGGAGTCTGTCGTCAATGACAGTGGCCCATTGGAGAAGACCGATGGAAAATGCCCTTCATTTTGTCTGCATGAATAAATGCTGCTCCCTGCAAGCTGCAATCACCGCTAAGATGTGAATTTTTGTTCTGCATCATCATAAATACCGTTATCAGAAATTTCCTTGAAATATCGTGATATCATTTTGCAGCTATATCGACCAGCCCTACTGGAAATAACCTGCTTCTCGGCGTAGCTTTCTGCGATCAGAATCAGCATTAAACCAGGATCTAACAATGTAGATTAAAAAGAAACGTATAGATTGGTGTCTTAATTTTTTCCAGAGCTGTATTTTGTTCATTTTATAAATGCATGAAGCAGATGGTTTCATTCCATTATGTTGCAGCTACATGGCAATGAAATGACCCGTGTCTTCCGTACTCTACTTGTGCCAGAACCCACACGGATCCTCAAGCAGCCCGAGTACAAGGTCGTCCAGAGGAACGGAAACGTGCTCTTTGAGTGCAAGGTGAAGCACGACCCCTCACTCATTCCCACAATGACGTGGCTGAAGAATGACGGAGAGCTGCCAGATGATGAGAGGCAGGTGCCACGGGTCTTGGGCATCTTGACCAGTATACAGTCTTTAAGGCGTGTTTTTCCTGCAGAATTCTGGGAAATAGAGTGATTATGCCATTGCTGGTTACACATGGTCTTCCCTTGTGTTTAGGTTCGTGGTCGACATGGACAGTCTGACCATCTACAACGTGACTGAAGGTGATGAAGGCACCTACACTTGCATCATGAACACAACGCTGGACCAGGACACCGCCAGCGCTAAGCTGACACTCATGGGTATGGCCCTCGCTTCCTAACGAGCACCATGTCTGGATGAAGCGGTTTCTCCACAAGCGAATGCTCTTCCCTTTGCCTCCTCTGCTGCAGCCTGTATGTCTTGATGTGTTCATTCCCTCAGTGACTTCTATTCCGTGTTTTTGAGGTGTAAGATTAGGGTCTATATTTCATGCAGTAACATCAGAAACATCGTCTGATTCGTTAAGCGGTGTTTAGGTACCTGTTCCTTCCATAGCCTCAAATGAGAATAAGTAAGGATTTTTGTAAGGATGCTATACTGCTGTCAAGTATCTAACCATTTCCTCTTACCTGACTGCTGTCCTTCTGCTGTCAGAGGCTACGCCGACTCCTGCTATCATCTACGGTAAAGCTGCATCCCAATGGTCCCAGTCTTATACATCACCCTTCATCCACTTGGGGCTTGTGTTTGACTCTTCATTTGACCTGTCACCTTTGGTTTTCCATACTCAAGCATGTCCCAGCCTGGCCACGTCGATCTCATCTGCTGTGCATGTGTATCTGTGGGCATAGCTCTTCCTGTGTATGAGTTGGGATTTTTCTACGCTTGCCTGCCGGTGAGGATGTGGTTTGAGACACGTTCCGTAATGGAGAGACAGATAGCCATCCCGACATCTCATAGTCCTCTCTTAGTGGAATGACACAATCCTACCCAAAAGTCACCTTTTATTTTAGCAGGGGAGTTACAGGGATCAAGCCACTGGGTTACTGACCCCAGCTGAAAGCTGATTGGCCCTCAGAGTACCTCTCATTCACCTATTGAAAACATATCATTGGCCACTGTACATGAATCATGGCCCTTCTTATGCCCTCCAACTTAATGGAATTTCTAGAATCGCCCCCGCATTTAGGATTATCTGCTCCCTCTCTACACTCAACTTAATGATGCCTTCATGATTCCACATCAGTTACTGCCCAAGTCAAGCGTAATATTATTTACACCAGTGTTTCTCAACCCAGTCCTCAGGGACTACAGACGGTCCACATTTTTGCTCCCTCCCAGCTTCCAGTCAATAATGGACACTGAATACCTGGTACAGTTGTATTGGGAGCCAGGAGGGAGCAAAAATGTGGACTGTGGGGATCCCAAAGGACTGGCTGGAGAAACACAGAGTTAAGAACATAAGAACATAAGAACTATACAAACGAGAGGAGGCCATTCGGCCCATCAAGCTCACTTGGGGAGAACTTAACTAATAGCTCAGAGTTGTTAAAATCTTATCTTAAGCACATACACAATACATATGAACACTGAATAAACGTAAACTACAGGGTGAGCCTTATTTGAGGAAGCTCTGCTGTCTATTGTCTCACCTGAGCTGTGACATTCTGGTACACGCTGGACAGTGAGCCCTCTCTCTGACAAGGATTTCCAGATAATTATTGTTTCCCAGGTATCGGGAAATAGGCTTCGAATTCCTTAAAATTATTTATTTCTCATGTCACTTAGATCAAGGAATAACACATTAAAGGAAGGTTTGCTTATTTACTGGCATAAATATAATGAAATATCATGAAATATAAATGTTCTGTTATAATAACGACTGGCCAAACAAAAGGGACCGTGTGTCTGTAAGGCTGTAATACCTGAGTGGTTTGTATTGTCTGACTGTATTAGAAAACTTATTTTTTTTCTCTTTTTATGGAGTATGTCATCGTAAAGCTTGAATGACATTATTTTCTAAAAATGCATGCTGATGTTTCATGGTAACTTGGAAAGGAAGGATTGACCTGTCTGTTTTCATGTATTTACACATTTCTTTCTCCATTTAATAAAAAAAATTGCTCAGCAATAACAAGCCTGTGTTTAGTCTAGTCTTTCTCGACCCAGCACACAGGAACCCCCAAACAGACCACATCTTTGCTCCCTCCCAGCTCCCAGCCAATCAACACCGAGTACCTGGTACTGTACAGGTGGGCTAGGAGCTGGCAGGAACCAAGAATGTGGACTGTCTGGGGGTCCCCAAGAACCGGGTTGATAAATACTGGTTTAGTCAGATTTACATCAAACATTTCAGTGTTGTCCTAATGCAAAGAACATGTCTTTACTGTAATGACTTACAAGGTGTAAACCTCATCACTGAGACTCCTAATCTTGTTTATCTGTTCACAAGTTAGCGCCGTGCTGGTTCATGATGTCATATGAAGCGTAGCATCATCGTCCGTGTTGTGTGTTACCTTAGTCACAATTAGAGAAGCAGGTGCCAGTGTGTTCAAAGACCGCCTCTTTTCCAGACCAACCAGACCCCCCAACAGACCTAGAGATGACCGAACTTCAGGCAAGGAGTGTCCAGCTCACCTGGGTACCTGGCAGTGATAACAACAGCCCCATTCAGAGTGAGTCTCCCTCACTGCATTCAGTCACTCTAGATATGCTTCCCTAACGACGACCCTGCTGGAAGTAAATGCTCTGACTATTAACGTGCTTCCTGATTGGCTGGGATGGTCTGGTGAGTAACTGGCCTTTTGCTTGCTGTAATGCTGCATTCCATTTCAACATGGAAGTTGGAAATTTAGTTTAGTTATACACTGTTTATCAGCAGAAGTGCAGCTGTAGTTATACACGGTTTATCAGCAGAAGTGCAGCTGTAGTTATACACTGTTTATCAGCAGAAGTGCAGCTGTAGTTATACACTGTTAATCAGCAGAAGTGCAGCTGTAGTTATACACTGTTTATCAGCAGACGTGCAGCTGTAGTTATACACTGTTTATCAGCAGACGTGCAGCTGTAGTTATACACTGTTTATCAGCAGAAGTGCAGCTGTAGTTATACACGGTTTATCAGCCGAAGTGCAGCTGTAGTTATACACGGTTTATCAGCAGAAGTGCAGCTGTAGTTATACACGGTTTATCAGCAGAAGTGCAGCTGTAGTTATACACGGTTTATCAGC